ATAATTTTTTACTTCTATAAAATGATTTATTTAATGTGTTTATATGGTTGTCAAACATTTTTTTAACTTATTATAAACACTTTCATAATTAAATCTCAAACATGACCTTAGAATCCTCTATGGCACTATGGTATTCATGTAAATTCCAAGTACCTAAATTGTTTAAAGACATTAAAATCATCTATCAATAATTACATATAATCTATGAAAGCTATAATATCTTTTTAAGGGTTTATGTGGAAAATTCTCATTATTTTGAGAAAAAATTTAATAAAGTCCTAAAAAACAAAAAAGTCCTTTTATTTTTGAAAAATCACATAATCTGTCATTTCCTATTAAAATATAAAAAATGATTTTTTTCGTTAATTTGTGTAACATATTAAATAATCGAGACTTTTCTGTTAAAAAAAAACTTTTAAGACTATATTAAAATTTTTCCCAAAATAATAAGACATTTTTATATAAAACTCATCCTTTTAATATTATTGTTTTGGAAAAACGTATGAAAATTTGATGATTCTATAGAACGAATTTATCATAGTTTACTTTCACTTGAGCAAACTTTAGTGTTATTTATTTATTTTATTTTTTTTTGTAATTCGCTTTTTAATAAGTCAAAAAAATAGAATCATATAACCTTTTAATAAAATAAAGGGAAAATGACACATTAGCCCTATGATGTTTTGCACATTTGCCCATTCAGTCACTTAAGTATTTTTTGTGCTTTATGAGGGAACAAAATAGTTATTGACCTGTTCATTTGATCACCTAACCTGATACAACCGGTTAAATGTGACACATAACCATTTCTTTTTGTTGACCTGCCTAGTCAACAGTTGATGCAATGAATTTTTTAATAAAAAATTACAAATAAACCCACTCAACTGCTTCTTCTCCACCTCGCTTGTGCTTTTCTCCACCCAACTTCTTCTTTTCTTTATCTATACCAACTTCTAATCGAGACTTTTGGAGGAAGCATGTATGCTTGATTCGCAATTAAATTTAGGTTAGGGTTTAAGGATTAACAAACCAAAACGAAAGGGGGGAACAGACAAAAACACCATGTCTAATAAGTGGAAACAGAAACATCACCACACAACTGATCAACACAACCCTGAAAGCACAAAATCTGGATCGAACCTCCTCCACCTCACAACAAACGTCGTAAGGTACCCATTGTTTACTACCTCACTCGTAATGGCCACCTCGAACATCCTCATTTCATTGAAGTTCCTATCTCATCCTCTGAAGGTGTTTATCTTCGATGGAATCTTTAATTTTTTAACACAATGAACAATATGTATTCTAGTTATTGAAGTTTGTTTTGAAATTTAAATGCAATAGATTAGTTCTATTCGTGGAAAAGAATGACTGCGTTGTACTCCTGGTCTTCTAAAAGGTTAGTAATAGTTATGATTTCAAATTGTAATCACTATCATGATTCATGAACAGAGAAATTGAATTGAATTGATTTAATTTCTATGGTCTAGGAGTTATAAAAACGGATTCGTCTGGCACGATTTACCAAAGAATGGTTTTATTTACTCGGTGCACAACCAGATATATATTCTGAAAGGATCGGAACTCTTTGACGTCCCCGGTGGTGATGCTCAGTTCAGCTCCAAATCTGATGAAAATGTTTCATACATCTCTAAAAGATCATTGTCTTTCGGAACATTAGAATCCATCATCGAGTTTGATTTTTCAGTCGGTAATTGGTTTCGACGGTCAAAGAAAGAAAAGTCAAAATTGATTTGTAGATTTTGGTAGTTGGAGTGATACCGAGTCATCGTGCTTATTGTGAATGAATCAAAAAGATTTGAATTGATGTTCAAAGTCTAATTTGTTGAATGTCAAAGTTCACATCTTATTGTTGCGTTCTTGTATCTGTAAATGGGGAAGAAGACAATAGAGTGAGAAAGAATGGAAAGAGAAGGAAGAATTTTTTGACTTTTTTCAAAGTCAATGTAATGGAACAATGTCTATGTGGCAAAAGGGTAACCGGGTTACACCTTCATTTTGTCCAAAGTGACCAAATTGACCCGATAAAAATAACTTTAATGATCTAAAAAACATGGAAAATACTTAAATGACTGAATGGGCAAATATGTAAAACGTTGTAGGGTTAATGTGTCATTTTCCCTAAAATAAAAGACTAAATCAATAAAATAGTGAAATAAATTATGATTTTTTTATATATTCACCCATTATCATATATCACGTTTGCTTGAAAACTCTAAAATTTGTTTGGGATATAAAACGTAAAATCTCAAAGTTTCTTGAGATTTCTTAAGTTTTATTGTAATTTTTTACCCAATGATTTTCATTTACATTTAATAGTGTAGCTGTACTCCTTTTATCTTTTTCTTATTCTGTTTCCTTAAAGTAGAACTCATAAGAAAATTTGCAAAAGATTAAAGCTGACGGAAATTGATTCAATCCGTCAACCCAACTCAAATCCAACCCAAAATTAGCGGATTTGGTTGAGATTTTCAACTCATTTAACTTAAATTGGTCAACCCGTCTAACCCATTTAATTAAATAGGTTGGGTTGGGTAAAAATTATCAACCCGTTTTCAATCCGTCAACCCATTTAACTTTAATATATATATTAGGTGTGGGAACCCATGTATTACATGAGTTAATTAAAAAAAAATATATCAAAATATAAACATTAAGTATTTTTTTAAAATTAAAATAGGGAAGGAAAAAACATATTTATTACATTTAATACTTTATTTATATAGTTATATGTATTATGTGGCTTTTTAACTTTAAAATTTAAAAAAACCTAGAAATTGACATGTGGATATATTAATTTCAAAAATACTACAAAATGACAAGTGTCAAAACTTATGAGAGATTGACATGTGGCAAAATGGATCCTCATTTATTAGAATATATATATATATATATATATATATATATATATATATATATATATATATAATTTAAAAATTATTTGAATATTATCATGTATTAATCAAAATATTAATTTGTAAATTATAATGTTGCATTATTATAATCTATCTTTAATAAAATTCAATCTTAATTTCCATCATTTTTTTAGCGCCGATAATACTGGTTACTCTCCAAAATCACTGTGAAACTATATATTTTTAATGTTATTTGAACAATTTATTTGTATTTATGAATTAGGATTGTGCTTTTGTCATAATTATAAAGTTTTATTTACGTTTTACAATTTAAATGGTATAATATTTAATTATATAATTTATTTAATTGATTTTAAATAGGTTAACCCAAGTTTAATCAATTTATTTAATAGGTTGGGTCGGGAACTACATAAACAGGTTAACCCGGTGACAACCCATTTATCTAAAAGGCTGGGTTGGGTTGGAAATATCAATCCATTTAAAAAAACAGATTGGGTTGCGTTGAAATTTTCAACCCAATTATTAAATGGGTTGAACACAAACCCAACCCAGGTCGACCCATTCTCACCTCTAACAAATATCTTATAGTTTTATTATAAGTATATATTTTTTTAGTTTACCTTATATGTTATATGCAACTTGTTATTTTTATTCATTATATTTTTTTTCTCGGTTTATGTGGCATGACATGCCACTGCCACATAAACATCTTATAAAATGAAATTAAAAGAATGATGAGAATAAAACTCGAACTCAAGACCTCTCAGTTTCACCCTTTCATTTGATAAATTGAAGTGTTGAACGAATATCAATAAACTATAAAAAAATGATGTAAAAATGACTTAAAAGGTTATGAACTTTCCAAAATATTTAAAAAATATCATTGTTGTTTTTTAGTATAAAAAATGTCATTAAAGTATACAATTTGTACACAAAATACCAATGAAATACACATGTGTTCACATGAAACATTGTGGTTATCGGTTATCTTAGGGAAATGGAAAAATGACTTAAAAGGTAACGAAGTTTACAAAATGTTCAAAAAATACCATTGTTATTTTTTGTAGCACAAATACTATTGAAGTATACAATTTGTACATAGAATACCAATGAAGTACACATTTAGTACAAAAATATCATTGAAGTTTTCAAAATGTTCAAAAAATACCATTGTTTTTTTTTTCAGAACACATTTTGTTAACTTTGTTGTTTACAGATTATGTAGAACAACGTCACCGATGATAATGTGTCGTCATATCAGTTCACACCAGTTGTGAACTCTCTTTCATACACTAACTATTATGAACTAATACGACGATGCATGATCTCCGGTGACTGTGTCCTATATAATTCGACAACAAAAAAGTTAATAAAATGTGCTCTGAAAAACAAAAATGATATTTTTGAACATTTTGAAAACTTCAATGATATATTTTATACTAAATGTGTACTTAGTTGGTATTATGTGTATAAATGGTATACTTCAATGATATTTGTACTAAAAAAATAACAATGATATTTTTTGAACATTTTGAAAACTTTGTTACCTTTTAAGTCATTTTTCCATTTATCTGAGATAACTGATTATCACAAGTTTTTATTTGAACACATGTATACTTTGTTGTTATTCTGTGTACAAATAATATACTTTAATTCTAATTTTTGTACTAGAAAAACAGCAATGATATTTTTTAAACATTTTGAAAACTTCGTTATCTTTTTAATTTATTTTCCCAAACATTAAAATATAAAAGACTGTGACTTCTATTTTTAAAATATTTTTCAATTCAAAAAATAGTAATAGTTTTTTTTTTAGTTTAATGGTAGTTTTAACATAAATTCACCGTATTTATATGCCTATTTCATAGTATATTAGCGGACAATTCCATTTTATTTCCAAAAGTCAACTAGTCAACCCCTCGTAAACTTCCACATCACACCTCGCCTATTCAAAAGCTTACGCAGCACACTCTTCTTCTTCTTTCTTCTTCTTCTTCCTATAAATCCTTCATCCCTCCCAAACAACACCAATTCAAGTATTCAACTCTCTCTCTCTCTCTCTCTCTCTCTCTCTCTCTCTCTCATATACACATACGATAAACCATGTTTGAATTCACATGCGAACTGATCGCAGTTGCTGCTTCAAATCCACACCTCATCTTTCTTTTATGCAATCTGATCATCGTCATTCTGATCCTTGTTAGCTTGGAACCCGCCTCAAATTCTCACCATAACTGCACTGCTACTCCAATTCCTCCTCCACCATCACCACCGCCGCTACATCCCGCCGTTAACAACAACAAAACCTTCGAAACCACCACTCCAACTACGCTGCCTCAGGAAACTAGTGTCAATGTCTCGATAGACGTTGACGAACTGTCATATGACTGCACTTTATCAGTCGAAGAGAATGAGGAAGAACAGGATGATGATCTCAGAAGAAGAGTAGAAGAATTTATCAACAAGATTAATAAAGGTTGGAAGGCTGAAAAAGAAAAATTGCAGTTATCCCTTGCTCATTGACTCATTTAGTGTAATTAATTATTCATGTGATTTTTGGAAAGCCCATTTGAATCAATTAGGGTTGATGGCATATACGATTTCTGAATAAATATTTTGGGGGTAGTTGAACTGCTGCCTACATTTTGATTATTTAGCATGATTACGAAATGCTGTTTTGATTCAAAAAAAAATTGCAATTGCAATCGGAATGGTCATTGGTGGGGTCGATTCCAAATCGCATCAAAGGAATTAAAAAATAGATGTCAAATATGTCCTTTTTTCAGCATCCACACAAATCCAAGTTTGATCTTTTTGCACAAAGAAAATCATAAGAAAAGATTACATTTAAATTTAATAAATAGACGTTTCATTTTATTATTTTAAAAATTGATTGTATAATTTGTGTGAATTGCATAATTGGTCAATGGTCAGACATTATTGCAGTAAAAAGGTAAATGGTTTCTTTTACTCCTGATGAGAACGTAGAGAGAAACGGAAATAAAAGTGTGTGTAGTGTATCTATATAACTTTGCCTTTTTATAGAAATGGTCCATAGACTTCGCATGTTTGTCACATTTAACATGGTTTATCATTATCAATGTTTTTCTTTTGTCAAATTAGTGTTATATTTTAAAGGAAATATACCAAAAAAACCCACTATATTTTTGCCATTTTGACACTAAAATTTTCTGTCGTGGCCTATTTAACAGGTTAAAGTGGTTGATATAGAAAACATGAAGAAATAAAAAGCAAGCTTCTTCTTCACATAAGCTTTGTAAAAGCCAAATACAATTGACTTCAAAGCATCAATACGTCAATAACAACAATAAACAAAACTAAATCCATAAAAAAAAAAAAAGCATCAAATAGCAGTAATAACTGTCTTCAAATGTGCTCTTGGAAGCACAAAACCAGCTCTCCTTTCCTCAAAAGAGTACTCAATAATCTCTTCAGGAATCAGCAACTCCTTCAGACATGGTGTCATTATTGAAGTCTGCATGGGAACAGACACTGTTGATGGTGTGCAAGGTATCATTGGAATCATGTTGTGTTTTGGAGTTCTATTTTCATCATCTGGAATACTCAATGATGATACTGTGGGTTTTGAAGGTGTTGTGTTGTTGATTTGAATCGTTTTCTGCAACATTTCGTGTTTTCTGTTGAAATCTTCAAATAACGATTTTGATGATTCTGTTGAAGAAATTGGAGAAAAGGGTTTGCGAAAGAGTGATTGTGGTTGTTCGATTTCACTAAGTGAATGTTTTCTGTTTGCAGGAAGTCCAGCTATGTCCAAACCTCTCCTCCCTGAAATATATATATTAATCAATTTAAACAAGTTAGAAAGAAAAAAGTTATGTATTTATATGATATATTGTTATAATCAACTAAATGAAAGTAGGAATCATGTTATAATAAACAAAAGAAAAAAAGAAAAAAAAAGAGATAGAATTTGAGAAATATACCAGCTGAAAGGGCTCCAAATCCATCATCCTTACTATTTAAGTGACGATCATTCTTTTTAGTGACACGTGTATTATTATTATTATTTGGTGTAGCTCTAATGGAATGAAAATCTGTTTTACTAGGCGCATGCATAGCACCTCCCATTGATAATCTCCTGTTACTCGCCCCACCACAAGACATCCTAGGCCCCTTTTTCCCACTTTGCTTCATTGGACTTGGTTTTGACCCAAACATCACTTCCTGTTCTGCTATCAACTGTTCTTGGAGTTTCTTCTGGTCCTAAACACACACAAAATGAAATATGGTAAATAAAGTCTCTAATAAAAATTTTGAAATTAGATAGCACTGATATCCTAAATGTCATACCCTTTGTCGTTTTCGTTCCTCCTCTTTTTCTTGCCTTAAAATCTTGTATTCTTCAAGCATGGAAAGAAGTCGGATCTGCATAAAATAATATAAAACAGATTAGATCTCTTGAATACAGAAAATCTTGAAATCAAGATTTTTTTCTTACTCCATCATAAGTGAACTCGGTTCCTCTCTCGTTCTCCCATGCTATTGTTTTCACAGCTAATGCTTCCACAATTCCTGTTCCAGAATTACAAAATAAAAATAAGCACTCTTTTTAGTAATTAATGATCAAAGGGTTGTTTTTCATTTACCTGGAAGTTTATTAACCAAGGCCCGAGCTTTTTCTGCACGCTTTAGTGTAAGATGAGCACCTCTTCCAGCATTATACCGATTATCATCCTAGATTATTTTTAAAAAGAAGATAATTTCGATTAGTTGGGTACTTACTAGAAATTAAAAAAAAAAATTTAATTAAATTAATATAGAAAAAAAAGAAGATCAACTCTGTTATATTCCTCTAGCCAACACTCCTCTTCACAAGCTGCCATCCATTTCTCAACTTTTTCAAGTATTTCTTTCCTGCTAAAAGCTTCCTCTTTAATTCGCCCAATTTGAACCTCAATTTGTTCAAGGAGATTATCAGGGCCAATAGCTCCTTCATTTATCAATCAAAACATATATCAGTAAATGTTGTTGTTATTATTTAGTAATATGTCACTCTTCATATAATCATACCAGATTCAATAGCTTGAAGGGCAATCTCCATTGAAGTATCGGATTCTGGAAGCAAATGTGTCTTCCTGCAAATATCTTCCAACTCTAATCTTTTCTTGTAAACAAGCTCTTTCATTTTGCCAGCCTTCATTTCTTCAAGCCGTGACACCTCAGCTTCAACCTTTTTTTAACAAAAAAAAAACACGTTATAATTTCTATCTTTTCCATTAATTCATACTTTTAAATAACTTACAAAATTAATGAACTCGATAGACAGCATGTTGGGCTCAGTTATCTCCTGTTCTGAAGCAGCTATGTTGCATGTAACACTTTGAAACACCTGCTGCTCTTCAACTGGTGTATCCATCAAATTCCAAAGCTCTAACAGAGAGCTTGCAAGATTTTGAATCTAAAAAAAAATCACAATTTAAAAGGTCAGCATATAAAATAAAGGGCTAATAAAAAACCAAGATAGTGATTTCAGTTCATTTTGGACATTGCACTTACTCTTTGCATTCTTTCTATTTTGACCTCATGCAATCTTTCTATAACAACTGCAAGCCTCCTGATGACATCATCACTGATGCTCTTTGTTCCTTCTGATTCTGATAAACCAGGATGGATTTCTTGAATTGTCTCGTTAAAGTCCATCCCAAGCACCACACACAGTGAATTTAAAGTGCTCATGTGGTCTAGAACTTGCTTAATACGTTCACTCTGGATATTTGAAGCGGTGAAAAGTAATTAGCAATATGTTTTTTTTGTGATTCTAGTTAAGTTTAAGGTTAAACAAGTAATTTCACCTTCTCCTTCTCAAGTGCTTGCAGTTGTGCACGGAGTTCTTCAAGCTTTCTTAAAGATAAATCACTTTCATCCAATACAGTTTTGAAAGAAGTTGCATAAATCTCCATTTTTATTTTCTGTATATGTTCTAAAACTTCAATAAATTGATTCCTCCTCTCGCATTTTCTCTTCTTCATTTCCTCTAGTTCAGGAATAATGGCTCTGAGTTCTGCCTTTAGGCTCCCAGAATTCTGATCAGACTGAAAACGTAGCATAACATAGATTGTTGTAAGTGAGAATTACATTTAAGAAAAACAAAAGAATTTTATATCATTTTATTTAACTAAAACTATATCATTACCTGTCTAATGTGAACAGGTCGTTCCCCCATGGCAGAACATATGGTTGCTAATTCTGCTTCAGAATCAGCAATTGCTTGTCTTAGTTGAGCTCTGCTTCTGTTAGCCAAATCTACCTTTCTTCTGTATACTTCAAGACATTCGCGTTCAAGTTCTAACAGCATTTTGTCCCTTTCAACATCCGACTCACCAACTTCATTCCATATTATCTGATTTCGTGATTTGCATATAAAGTATAGATGTTTAACTGGAAATATGGGGGTAGTAGAAATTAAAATGGTTTAGAAGGATACCTGAAGTTCATAAAGAAGGGATCCACATGTAGTTTCCACTTGCAGAAGTGGATCGTTTAAGGGTGTAGACATTCTGAGACAAAACTTTTGGATATGAGATGGAAAAATGCAAAATTTTTTGAATCAGTCTATTAACACTGATGAAGAAAGAGGCCTGAGATTTTTGAAATTTCACATCGCTTTGGCATTTACATTTAGTTCGCTCCACAAACTCTTATCCTTTCTTTTGTATACATTATTTAAGACAGAAGGAGTACATAATTTAAGCATAATCAACAGATAAACAAGTAAGAAGTAAAATAATTCAGATAAATTAGAAAAGCCCTCGTTAGATTATGAGCAAATGGGTAGCAAGAAAACACACACTCGTTCAATCAAAGCTGACAATTACAAAATTCAAACCCTAACTTTTATCTTTTACTAAACTTGAGTACACGAAAGCACACATTCGGGTTAATCAAAGCAGAATCTAGAAGGAATTGACAAATGAAACAAAAAACAATTCAGATCTAAAACCCAAACCTGAATTTGTGCGGATTCGCAAACAAGGTCAAGTGATTGGTGAATTTGTAGTGGAGAAGTAAGCGAAAGAGTCAGAGAACACGATCTGATAGTTGAGAAACAAAGTTTGTGTATGAGAAATGCAAGAAATTGAAGATTTGAAATCGAGAGATGGAGAGGTAATTCGACCGTTTGAAACAGAGAATATGATAAATGAGACAATTGATAATGGAATTAATTTAGAGAAGGAAAAAAATTTGAATTTCAAATGGAGCGAGTGAAAGTGCGTGTGTTGTCTCTCCCACTGTACCTTTTTCGTTTGTCACTTGGAGCATTAATTAAGGAAAGGGCCTTCAAACATGGGCCAATAGTATTTAACGGTAACAACAATAAAATGAATGTTTGGTTTGTAGCTAATATAAAATATGTTTCTATAAAACAAAATACAATAGTTTAAGTAGTTTATAATGATTATTAATAGTTTAATACTAATCGTACCTACTTACCATTGTTTTATAAAGAACAAAATTAGGTATTGACAAGAGAGTACTCTTAAAAACACTCCAGATTCTTTCAAATTATTAACATATTAAAATAGATCTACATCATTAGATTTAAATAAGTCAACTTTGGTTTATATAATAAGGTTTGAAATATATCTATCTCTCGTAAAATTTAAATCTTACCACAACAAAATACAATTAAACAAATGATTGATATAAACTCAGCTGCATAAACATATAATACACAACCAAAAGGAACATACAATTTGTTAGAATTGGGGTGATAAAACAGGAGGGCATAATGAGAACCAATTTTTGGATATCGTTTTTGTGGACTGTGTATCGTTACCTTTCCTGATCTATATTTTGGTCATATGTCTAAGTATATCAAAATCAGATGTAAGAATGTTCAAAATCTTGGGAGAGATCTACATGTCATTTCGAGACACAAAATTTAGTAGTTCTCGTGTTTGAATTAATTATAAGTAGGAGTGCAGTAATAATTAATTATCAAATAATAATATTCCGATATATCATATAACTTAAAGGGTCAGAAATTCAAAGAGAGTATCACAATGTAATGTAAAACAAAAAGAAATTATAAAACTCATATATTAGCAGCAGCCTATCTATAACAACATAGTACAACTACTGTATCCTTCCTCTCTACACCATATGAAAACCAAACCAATCAAAAAGTCATCCCTCAAAATCCCTCCTTATAACCTCAACCAACAACTCATTCCACGTGTCAACCGGGCCCGGCATACACCAATGCAAACAATCCTGCGGTGGGGGCCGCCCATCCGCACTCCTTTTCACCACCTTATTCGGGTCAAGACTCCTATACGGGCCCGGATGACCATCATGCCTATACGAAAAAGCTTTGGTTATGTCCATAAAAACAACCCGAGATTTATTCGTTATATTTTTCACACCAATATTAAACCCTGACACTTGTTTATCATGCATTATATTCGTAAACCCATTCTCCACTAAATCCACAGCGGGCTTCACCTTCCCGGTGCACGACCCGCCTGTGTTCCAGGCTCCACCCTCGTAGTGGTCCGGTGAATACGACCGGACCACAGTCAGCCCGGTGTAACTCGGGCTGGTCACCAGGGTGGACATAATAGTTGCTACAGAGATTTTAAAAGCTTCGGGGGATTCGATTTTTTTGGGGCGGGATTTATCGGGCCACCATAATTGTCCGCCCACGATTTCGTTGTTTAAAATGTAAACGGCTTTTTTTGCAAACCAGTGACCGGAGGAAAGGACGAGAATGTCAAAAGTGGGAATGTCATTTAAGAAAGTTTCGTCTGGGATGTCGAGGTGGAGCTTGTCTACACCCTCGGGTGCAAAATTGAATTTTTCGGTTGTTTTGTGGACTAGCCATGATGACCATATTCGGATGATTGTTACGGATGTTGATTGGAAATAATAACGTTGCATTCTTTTGTTCCCTCGGTTTTTTGGAACTTCCACCTGTAATTTTTTGAATATTTCTCAGAAATTCAGAAAGAAAAAAGTACAATGATTGAATCACTATAAAAAAAAGTAGTTAAAGTGGCTAAATCAATAAAATGATGAAAAACCGAAAGAAAAAAATTAAAGAGCAAGAGGAGAGGAGACCTAATACCCCTTCCTAATTTAAATTGTATATGCAATTCTACTAGTTTGAGACCAACATTTCGAATTTGTAGTGTTTTGTTGATAATTTGAAGGGATAAAATGCAAGAAATAACAGTATACTTTCCTTTATTTGTGTGTATTACAGCATCACACTATCATTTCTTTCTACTACAACATTATACTTTTTTTTCTCATTAATACATTGTATTTTAAAAAATCTACCCAATTATAGCACTGTACTTTCAGTTTTTTCTTATTTACTCATTACTTCGAAAAATCTACCTAATTAAAGGAGTGAAAATTGCTTTGTATTTGGATGACATTGCTGGTTTTGGGTAACATTTTTCAATATACAATGTTGTAATACGAAAAAACAAAAGTAAGATGCTATAATAAAAAATCAATAAAAGTATGTTACTGTTTCTTGCATTCAACCTAATTTAAATGCTCATGTTCGAAATAAAAAGCAAAAATTTCTTTTTCGCACAAAATATACACAATGTTTTTTTCTTTTTTGTAAATGACACTAATAACAGTTTTAGAGCTTAGATGTGAATACAAAGTTGCAAATGAGTTTGATTTCATAAAATTCATTTCAATCGTATTGATCATGGAATATCATTGAAAAATAGGAATCCAGGTCATCAAAAGATTTCGTTGTGGTTGTTTATTTAGGGAAAATTACATAAAAGTCACTATATTTTGGCCATTTTATGTGGTTTATCCACTATACTTTGGTTTCGTCAATGAAAGCCACCCAAGTTTTACATAGCAGGTTAATGTGGTCACAACAGAAAAGTTTGTCAAAGTTTAGTGGCTTTAGTGAAAATTTTGATACTAAACTTTGGCACTAAATTTTTTTTGATAAAATTTGTATTGTGACCACTTTAACCTTCTATAGCAGGTCAAAGTGGTTGACATAGAAAGATTGTCAATTTTAGGTGGCTTTCATTGATGAAACAGAAATATAGTGTTAAATTAAACCAGAAAAATGACCAAAATATATTTTGTCCTAGTAATTATATTAAAGAAGCAATACTTGCCTGCCAAAGTATGCATAACATTGACTCCATCTGATTTCTGGCAACCGAGTCACCTACAAAAGCTAATGTCTTTCCTCTCACCAATTCCAGAAACTTCTTGGGGTCAAATCTAGGAAGATCACATTTTGTGGGTTTCCATCGCCAATTCTCATAGTCTTTATCAGGCCTACCATTTCCTTGACAGTTTTCCATTTGTGTCAAGACAGGGCATGAACTGTTTGTGTATAAAGGTCCAGCTGAATCATATACCCATTTCCCATCATACAGATCACACCCTACAAATCCCAACCATCAAAACCATAAATAAGTTTATAGCATATCCATAACTTTTTTCCCATTAAGTTCTTTCTATATCAATAAAGTGGCTGAATGGCTTATGATTTCTGTCAGGATAAACTGTTGTCTACTGTATACATAAGCTTTCTTTCTATTCTGGAGTGAATAAGCTGCCTCAATCAGGCGATATGACTATTTACCCTTAGATTCCAAAAAACAAATTTCACAATATTTATCAATTTTAACTATATTCATCAAATTTTGATGTGACAGGAGTTGGGAGGAAAAAAGGAAGGGAAAAGAGGAAGGGAAAAGAGGTAAAGGGTTATTGTCTTAATACATTAAGCCAGGTTCTGTGGCTTAGCCCATTAAGTTGTTGTCCAGATTAAATAGAAAAAGAAACAGCCCATCAAGTGCTTAACCTATTAAGCCTATCAAGTGAAAAAGAAACAACCCCTTAAAACTGTAAAGGCATTGACAACATTGGTACCTGAATCAACACTCTTCTTGGTACCTGTATCCACGGTTTTGTTGATAACTAAATCAACAGTCTTGTTGATATCTGAGTCAACCGTCTTCTTGTTGATATCTGATTCAACTGTCTTGTTGATATCTAAGTCAACCGTCTTCTTGTTGATATCTGAGTCAACTGTCTTGTTGATATCTGAGTCAATGGTCTTGTTGACATCTGGTTCAACGGACTTGTTGATATCTGAATCAATGGTCTTGTTGATATCTGAGTCAACCGTCTTGTTTATATCCGAGTCAACCGTCTTGTTTATATCTGAGTCAACTGTCTTGTTGATATCTGACTCAATGGTCTTGTTGATATCTGAGTCAACCGCCTTCTTGATATCCGAGTCAACCGTCTTCTTGATATCCGAGTCAACCGTCTTCTTGTTGATATCTGAGTCAACCGTCTGGTTGATATCTGAGTCAACTGTCTTGTTTATATCTGAGTCGATGTTCTTGTTGACATCTGAGTCAATGTTCTTGTTGACATCTGGGTCAACAGTCTTGTTGATATCCAACTCAATGGTTTTGTTAATATTTGTATCAATGGTCTTGTTGACATCTGAATCAACAGTGTTATTAATATCTAAATCAACAGTGTTGTCGGTAGCTGAATCAACTGTCTTTCTATTTGTTTCTGTATCGTTAACACTGTTCTCAAATATGCTTGTTTCATTATTAAAGGGTGATAACTCAATTTTACTAGGTTCATCAAGGTTATAAAAATAGCCACTAACTTTAGATCCAATTGGCTGATAGACAAGAAGCAAAGAGGCAAAAATTAAGAACAAGGCAAGTCCCCCCACTGAAGTTGCAATTGGTAGAAGGGTCTTTGGATATGCAACCATTGGTTTAGGGGAACCCGATCCCATGGCTTTTTAAAACCCAAAGAAACTAAAGAAGCAATGTTAGTGGTAAAGGATTCTCCTTGAAGAAATTAACTCCTCCATTGCATCATTTTGTAGCAACGAAATGAAATGAAATCCACCTGTAGCATGTGGAAAGGGAAATAAGTAAACATGCGAAATCAAGCTATAAGACTATTGAACATAATGCTAGACATATAGGAAATAACTTATTTTCAACTTCATATAGACTTCTTAAGAAATATGTAATACTCCAGATGCATTTAAACGAAATGCAAAGATAGCATCAGGAAATGATCTTCACGATAAACAAAGAGATAGTATAGGCAATCCTGCGTTTTATGCTTTCATGTTTCCTTGGATGCTAAGCTATATTCAATTTAGTTAAATACTAGTCAAAAGAATAAGGTAACAGCCTAACAGGTGACAGAATAGACTTCCCCATCAATTTATATATGAGATCTTCCTATTCCCTATCTATTTTGTTTTTTCAGTGGGAGCTTTATTTACACTTTAAATCCCCCTTATTCCCAATCGTATAAGTGCAATGCCTCCCGGATATCATCAATTTACAATTACCTATTGAATCCTTGCAAACATGATATGCACCACATTTCACATGTCTTTTACACTAAAAAAACTCTGACATATCATTGTGCATGCTTAAGAACCAAATCTAGACTCCAATTATATAAGATTATAACTCATGTAAAAAACTCATCTGAAAAAGGAATCTGATTCTTTAAATACCTAGAATAATATGGCATGCCCAAGCAAAACGCTTAAAGCCTTAACCCTTAAATGATCACCATGCCCGAAAGGTATTGAAAACAAAATAAAATATTGGGATACAATGAAAACCATACAGTTTGGACTTTGGACAATTAAACAGCATTATATCTACAACCATGGGTAAACATCCTAGAAGAGTACGCTAAGGAACAAAAGTAAGGATACCACTCAATTAACTGCAGAAAGTGCCTACATTCACATGCACAACCCACAATGACATAATCCAAAGCACTTACATACTGCACAAGGTTTGGGCTTTTACAGGAAACCTATGCCATTTATCCGGGTTAAGATGCTTAACCAAACTGCCAATCATTAATTCGACACATCTGATATCACGATTTTCTATGTTATTATGCCTGATGGAGATTCAACAGAATGTGATCATAAATCATGCTTGATAGAGATTTACAAGCCAAATAGCCATGTTAGAAGTTACAAATATTGAATAAAACAAAACGTTGCATTGTACTTGCTTCATTGTAGAACTTTGGCATAAAACAAGTACGTATATGAACCACACGGTACCTTAACACTAAGAAGAGAGTTATGACAACCTCAATACAATCAATTAAGAACTGAGATGTTGCGAGCGTGAAAACTGAGAATGTGAGACTCAAAACGTGCAATTGTGGTATGTTTGATAAGAATTACGGTGGCTACACTAAATAGTCCCAAACCTAAAAGCATTAATCGGATTGTAAACAAAACATTCGAGCTAAATTTGCCAGAATTTCGCTAAGCAGATCAAATCGAACTTCTGAATCAAATGACGAAATGTAATGGGGTTAGAATCGTGTGATCTGTGATCAGCACGTGAAGATAGTGATACTGTTGAACATACCCGTCTATGGACCGCAGGACTTGAGAGATCGTTGAGGATCAGGCGGTCGCCGGGAAAGCCGCGATACGATTGCACAGAAGAAGAAGAGATTTATGCGAAGCGTGGTAAGCAGACAGAGCAAACCAAAGCACGGCAAAAGAATATATATAGATTGTGATCCAATTATATAAAAGCGATTTGAATCACTTTTGAATAACCGTGTCACCGATTTGACTTCATGTAATTTTGTAAATTTTAGCACTTTTGCACGATTATTATTTTAATTATTATATTATGTTATTAAAGTAAAGCATTTATTTAGAGTAAATTACGATTTTCTTTCATGTGGTTTGCCTTAACTTATGGATCTAGTCCGGTTTTTTCGTTTTTCACTTGATAGTCCTTGAACCTTCTAATTGTTTCATGACTAATCTTCATAAATTGAAATGGTCGATGTGGTTTCGAGAAATATCAATTTTAGACCTTAATTCTTTTGGGTTAATTCCTTACTTATATAAAAATACTTTTAGACCATTTTTATATTTTTTATCTTTTAATTACATTTAATAAGTTAAAAAATTGTTTAACAAAAATGTGGGTCATATTATTCCACCAACAACCCAAAACTCATTAACCCTTCCGGATTCAAATAGATCTCATTCGACCACCATATCTATTCCCACATACATCTCTCTAGTCCGCCTCTATTGTCGTAAACCGTTATCGGTGTTATCGATGTCTACCAAAAAGCCCGTTGTCGTCATCGATGCATACCATAACTCGTTGGAAGATCCAACTTCACAAACATGAAGCAACCAATACACACCGACACCACCTCATCTCAACTCCGCCGACCATCACTCCTACAATCGGTTTGGTCCCATAACCCGCTCATCTCACTTCATCCTTTCTCTCTCGTCCCTGATATTTATCCCTGCTTCGTAGAGATTCTGACATCCCTATCCTCACTGGGAATCGTCGCTTCCCTTTTACATCAAAAACCTGCAACTTATATGGACTTCAATGCATCAATCGATTTTTAGTAACCATCTAACAACAACATTCTAACATTCAAACTCACAACATACATATAGTTTTTAAATTGATTTTCAGTAAACGTCTCTTAAGCATTTAATAAAACAACTCTTGCTCAACTCAAATAGATTCCATTTTTCAGCATTAATCGGGAGACCAGGTCCAGAAACCAACCACTTCAATTTATCAATCGATTTTAAATAACCATCTAACAACAACATTCAAACATTCAAACTCACAACAAACATATATAGTTTTTAAATTGATTTTTCGATAAATCTATCTTAAGCATTTAATCGAACCACTCTCGCACAACTCAAATATATTCCACATTTCAGCATTAATCATTAATCAGGATACCATGCCCGAAAACCAACCACTCCTATATAGTTAATACAAAGTTACACCTATTGTGTTCGATACAAACATAATATAACTGAGAAATAAGAGAAAACAGATAGCATAAAGAGAATCATTGAGGGGAGTATAAGTATAAGAACCCAAAAATTATAGAGATTTGACTTTGGGTAAATAATAGGCTAAAAGGGCAATTTGGTCATTTAGAGGAATTTCATGAATTGAGAAGATGTATCTTTATGAAATCAGTCAAGATAAGTCTAAGTCATTTTTATAAGATGAGATAAGTGATTTCAAGTAAAAAAAAATGCAAGAGATAGTGCATTTAGGCCTTAAAGGGTAAAATGAGAATTTTATGCTTGCCGAGTCAAGTTTGTGACTTAATATATTAACACCCTTAAGTAGTCAGTCTGAAGTGACTTAATGGAGTCGTAGAAGTCATCCCCACCTTTGCGTGGATATAATGATCATAGAAAATGAGTTTAAAAACAAAGAAGTTATGAATGTTAGAAGATTAGAATAAAATTGTCCGATATGAAATCAGTTAAGGAGCTGCTGAAATGCAGGCACCGCGGCGCGGTGGGCGAAGCGGTAAAATGGACAAAAGTCTCATCATAAGTAGAGGGTAATGTACTTTCACTACGACGTGGTAATATGGGGTACCGCAACATGCTGTGAAAGTAGTAAGTTATATGAGAAAGGCATCATGACTCGGTAAGAAGGAGACCACAACCTAATTAGGCGCACCACGGCACGATATACATGTTGTCACGACGTGGTTTCGCAAATCAGTCGCATATTTAAATCTGTTAAGGGTTCATTCTCGAACCATTTATCCCCAAATTCGTTGGAAATACCCAAGAGTGTGCCAAGATGAGCTAGGGATGAAGGATTCCAAGGATTAACATCATTTCCCTCTTAAGGTTACGATTTCTTCCTTTAGTGAAGCTTTAAGCTTTAATGGTGAAATTGTTAGTTTCACTATATTGGTTGAGTTAATAGAATTATAATTCAATTAGTATGTCATTATTTATTTTATTGATGTCGGTGAGTCTAACTGCCCTCCTCCAAATCTCAGCCGTCTAAACTCCACGTTCTTTCAATCTGAGCCGCATAAACTCAATTTTGGCGGTTTTTTGCAGTTCATCGCATCCTGATTCTTCTCCCCACGATTCTGTACGATTGCGTCTCTACCCACATTCTACACAATTTCCGGTTGTCTCCTCAAGAAGCAATTCAATTGGAAACTGCATTAAACTGCAGCACGCCTCCGACTTTTACCCTAAACCGCAAATTGGTTTTAATCAAGAACTGCACCACACGATTCCATGATTGCTAGAAATCAGGTGGTTTTGATTAACTGTCTTGTCTATATAAGAGTTGAATTTCATTGTAAATGCTTCAATCATAGTTGTTGGTTGACAATTGTTGCTAAAAATAGTTGCTTCTGTTGATCCAATGGCTTCCAATTCGTCTGACATACCTTCACTTAAGGTAAAAATTCAATTGTTTACTCGATTTCGATTCTTTATATTTCATTGCATTTCTTTGTTTCAATTGGTAAAAATAATTGATTCGTTTGATTTTATGGTTTGCCAATTCGTATATTGTTTCTTCACATAAGGGGGCCTTATTGTCTCGATTCCTTTGATTTTTAGTCTATTGTATAGTCAACTTCGATATATAATTGAAGTTAATGTTCATTTATGTTTCAAATTTCGATTTCATATGTATTAACAATTGTGTTACGTATATTTTTTACGTAGAACATTGAAGTTGTTGCTGGAAAAGTCAATCCACCGTCAGAGGTATCAAAATTGACAGTTGATCCTAATGATTCCAATTCGTCTGACATACCTTCACCTAAGGTAAAAATTCAATTGTTTAATTGATTTCTGTTCTTTGTATTTCATTGCATTTGTTTGTTTAAATTGGTAAAACTAATTGATTCGATACATTTATGGTTTGGAATTCGTTAATTGTTTCTTCACATAAGGTAAGCTTTTTTGTCTCTGTAATCGAATCCTTTGATTTTTACTTGATTGTATTTTCAACTTCGATGTATAATTGAAGTTAAGGTTCAATTATGTTTCAAATTTCGATTGCATATGTATTAACAATTGTGTTACATATAACTATTATGTAGAACTTTGAAGATGTTGATGGAAAAGTCAATCCACTATCAGAGGTATCACAATCGACATTTTATCATAATGATTGCAATTCGTCTGACATCTGTTCACCTAAGGTAAAAAATTCACTTCTTCAATCGATTTCTATCCTTTGTACTTCATTGCATTTTTTTGTTTCAATTTGTAAAAAGAATTTCTTCGTTTGATTTGATGGTTTGCAAATTGTCTATTGTTTCTTCCGATAAGGTGAACTTATTGTGTCTGTAATCAATTTATTTGATTTGTAATTCATTGTATATTCAACTTCGATGTATAAATGAAGTTAAGTTTCATTTATGTTTCAAATTTGGATTTCATATGTATTAACAATTGTGTTCTTTATAATTTTTATGTAGAAATTTGAAGATTTTGATGGAAAAGTTAATCCACAATCAGAGGTATCAAAATTGACATGTCACTCTGATTATGAGAGTGTTGATATAATCGACTTTAGTGTTCACTTCAGTCCCTACAAATCTCAGTTGGAGAGGGTGATTTCGGAAGAGGTAAAGATTTTATGAGTTTTGTTTTCAGATATATATGCATGTAAAGTTCTTTTTCTCTTTCAGGTTTCTTTAATTGCCAAAGAAGAAGAGAAGCTGTCAAGAAAAGAAAAAAGGAAGTTGGCTTTGTTATGTTGGAAGTGGGAAGAAGTTGTAGATCTATGTGAAGATGAAGAGTTGGGTGTGGATCTACCATTCATACCACTGAAAAAGAAAGTGAAAGTTTCCATTCAATGTCGAAATCGAGTCATGAAACTTTTTGATGAATCAGATGTTGATGAGTGATTTAGGATTAACTTTGTTAATTTTTTTTTGTTTTTTGTAGTGTTCTTTTGTATTTGCTGCAGTTAGTTGTTATTTGTTTTTATGAATTAATGTTTATAAGTTTTTCAATTGTAGTAAATTGTTGTTTATCTTATTTCAATTCTCTTTCTATCAATTAAGGTAACCTACTTTCATTATCAACTATCTTCAGCAACTTTTATTTCGTTTATTACTTTTTACCCCTCATGCATCATTTATGATTTTGGACCATTTTTACCCTTACTACCCCCAATTATATTGTAATTGTCATGGATAGTGTTGGTAATACATCTCTTCATTGAAGCGACTTTGATTTACCCTCAACAAGATTCAAATTTCATAATGTTTACTTATAAAGGCATTTTGTATTATTTATTTGTTTATTTTAGGAAAGTGGTAGAGCAGGGAGGGATGGGCTTGCTTCTGAAGTTTTACTTTACTTTATGCCTGCTGATGTCCCAAAACAGGTATGAATTGTTGGAGGGTATTGCTCTGAATTTTTTCTTTTTCATGTATATGTTGCTTCTCTTCTACTACATATGGTTGAATTGAGTTGATTTTTCAGTTGAAGAAACAGGAAACAATTTTAATCCATTTGATACTATTGTTTGTAAGATTGTACTTTGAAATTTCTTTCCAAAAAGTGGAGCTTGTACCCACTTAATTCACTCATTTGTGTTTCGTATTTGGGTAATTGTGAGGAGGTTATTGATTTGCATGTTGTATAATTCATTACAATTATAGTTATATGGAGTAGTTAATTATGACATTCTTGAAAGGTCTTAATTTGGTTTCAGATGCTGAGAGATCAAATTGTCTTTTATTTTTTTATTTTAGTACATAGTTTATAAATAAATAGTTGATTATACTATGACTATAAAGATCTTTAGGATTATCTGTTCAATGTGATAAAAGGATGGCATATTTGATTTTGATTTTGTGTTTTTTTATGAATAGATAGAAACCTGTCTTAATTTAATGATTTTGATGTAACAAAAGCTATTCAACATAATCTTTTTTTCATTCATTCAATTTTTATCATCTTGTATAATGTCCTTAAGTAAGACAATTCAAAAGTACATTGATATTTTATCATTCAATCCGTCCACCGGACGGGTATAACATTTGGTATGACCAGAACAGAACGGAACAAGATATTAAAAAAAGACCATAATGCCCTTCTACCATTGTTAATGATTTTGGACCGTTTTACCCCTCCTCCCCCCATTTGTATTGAAATGCTTATGTGTTGGCAACTAAAATATGAATAAGAAAAAAAATCATATTTTTTTAAATATGATGTTATATTTGAAAGTACAATGCTTAAATAGTTAAACTCCACCGTAAGAGGTATCAAAATCGACAGTCGATCCTAATGATTCCAATTCGTCTAACATACCTTCACCTAAGGTAAAAATTCAATTGTTTAATTGATTTTTGTTTAATTGTTTAATTGACATACCTTTATTTAAAATACAGATGTGGTATATTTATTATTGAACATTTGTTGGAGATGTACAGTTGTTTTATATATTATTATTCCATATTTCATCATGGTGAAGAAAAACAGTTAGAAACCGAAAAAGTCAAAATAATGTAATGTTTTTGTACGATAATAACGGTTCCTAATTCGTTTTTATGATTTTGGACCGTTTTACCCGTACTTGGATTTTCAGTGTTTTAGCTTACAGGTAATTTTGTTTTTTTTGTTGTGAAATACACTAATAATAAAAATAAAATCATTTAACCTATTTTTTACCTACTAAATTCAATTAAGTAGTTACAAAGGCTTACAAATGTAAGAGATGGAGCTGATGTTAGTTTCATATTCTTCAGATCCCGGCGTTAACATAATTCAATGGCCAACATATTTGGTTGCTAGCAAGGTTCCAAATGCTCTTGACATTGCAGTGCAGTTTCGATCCAAGGATGCTGATCTTTGGAAGTGTATATGTGCTGATCAATATATGAAGTGTGCTGTCATTGAATGAAACCAGTTATACCATCATAAAAAAATTATGTTATTTTCCTGTTTAAGCAATGTACTTTGAATTATACGATCGTACTTTAATTGTTATTTCATAATTACAATATATATATATATATATATATATATATATATATATGTTTTTTTCTTATTGTAACAGACTCTTAATTTGTTTTAATGATTTTGGATCGTTTTACCCCTCCTGCATTGTTAATGATTTTGGACTGTTTTACCCCTCCTCCCCCCATTTGTATTGAAATGCTTATGTGTTGCCAACTAAAATATGAATAAGAAAAAAAATCATAATTTTTTTTTTTTGAAAATATGATGCTATATTTGAAAGTATAATGCTTAAATAGTTAAATGTTTTACCTTTATTTAAAATACAGATGTGGTATATTTATTATTGAACATTTGTTGGAGATGTACAGTTGTTTTATATATCTATTATTCTATATTTCATCATGATGTGTGAGATTTTTAGTTATATTATGTGCTTTTCCAACATAACATTCTTTATTAGCAAATTTGTGACCACTCACTGCTTTACCAACATTCTAGAAATTAACAAATCTAAAATATTTGAGCAAGTTCATGAGTAATACCAGAGGAAAAAATATGAGGAAAAAAGATGCAGTCTTTCCTATTCCTGCCATAAATACCCTCAACATCAAGTAATCTATTAAAAACCAATTAAGAGGCTTAGATACCCAGTTCATAGAAATGAATCTTAGATTTCAAGTTAAGCTATCACTATAGATGGCTGCGTGGTGATTCCCCTTCACGAAACGCCAAAATGGCCTTTCAAAATGTAAAAGAGCTTGAACATGTGGTACTGCAACCGAAAAAAAAAGAAAAAAAAACAATGGTTAATAACAAATAACATTGGCCAATCTTGAGGGATAAGGGTTCTTCTTTTTCTGTAGGGGAGATAAATTTTGGCCATTAACCAACCTCCTCACAAGAAGAATTGAATCAATTCAAACAATTGGTTATTAGTTTAAACAATACGTATAAATAAACAAACAGGAAGTCAGGTGGCAAACCACAACAGCTTAACATGCAAACAGAACTATATCAAGCCTAATTAAAGACAAATCGTTATAAGTGATCACGAAGGTGACAAATGTATGATTCTTAAATTGAAAATTTGATAACTCTTCTAAAATGTTAATAAATGTATGATTGTTATTCTGCTATGCTAATGACATAAAGGATCTAAAAATTGTCAAAGTTCTATATAATACACATAAATATCCCTCTTTAACTAACTGGGAATGAAAATTTTCACTTATAACATATGTAAACAAATTCCTAGAATAAGCTATTAGGCAGCACTATAATGTCAAATTTGAAATTTAAGGTAGTTCATAAAATACCGTTAAAATGTTAATCTCCTGAATTTCCACTTCTACCCCTACAATATGCTATTTACCTCAAAATAGTTAAACACACTTAAAATGAAACCTGTTAGCATTTATAAAGAGGTTATACTTGATATAAATTATTCCCTCTATACTATGGAAGTTGAAACATTTTATAATTTGGGTTTTCCATAAAAAAAATCATGTTATTTTCCTATTAAGCAATGTACTTTGAATTATATCATCATAGTTTAATTGTTATTTCATAATTACAAATATATATATATATATATATATATATATATATATATATATATCTATATATATATAATATATATATATATTGCTTATTGTAACAGTCTCCTGATTTGTTTTAATGATTTTGGACCATTTTACCCCTCCTGCAGCGTTAATGATTTTGGTCCGTTTTACCCCTCCTCCGTGCATTTGTATTGAAATGGTTATGTGTTTCCAATTAAAATATGAATAAGAAAAAAAATCATAATTTTTTTTTGAAAAAATGATGCTATATTTGAAAATACAAAATGCTTAAATAGTTAAATCTTTTATGTTTATTTACAATACAGATGTGGTATGACTCGAAACCTATTAGCATCTGTAAAATTAAAATACTTGTAATCTTTTTGTATGATTATAACGCATTTCCTAATTCGTTTTAATGATTTTGGGCCGTTTTACCCCTGCTGCATCATTTTTTATTTTTGACCGTTTTGCCCTTAATTGCATTTTCACTGTTTTAGCTTACATGTCATTTTGATTTATTGTTGTAAAAAACACTAATAATAAAAATAAAATCATTTAACCTGTTTTTTACCTACTAAATTCAATTAAGTAGTTACAAAGGCTTAAAAATATCTAAGATTTGATGAGGGAAATTCAAATGATACGTTTTGCTTTTTTCTTTTGTTGTTTTTATCTATTATTTGTTTATTTAAATGTTATTTATATGAATAAACAAAATAAAAAAATAAAATAAAATTGAGGGCAATAATGGAATTTGTTTGCACTGTTAACGTGATTTGAGTTTACGAAAACTTGGGACTAAAGTTGAGGGGTAGTGTGTTTAACCGTTTCTTCTTTAACCTGTTACATCGGATTTCCTTTGCACGTTTATTCTATAACTTGGGATTAAATGAATTATGTCCAGTGTAGTACATCGAATCATTCTCTGTCTCCATAACTTCCTTCATTCTGCTTCAATTAGTCGGGCTATCTGAAATTGGAATACATAAAAGGGTGATATAAGGTTTCAACTTCATATTAGCTATTACTTTCCTTTTTTTAATGTTTATTTATATGTGTTGATATATGGTCCATTAGCACAGCCCTGGCGCGCCAGCCTCGCTTGGCGCCCCCCTTGCCAGCCTCGTTGGGGACTCTCCTGCTGGTTCATATGACTAAGTCCAGTCCGATGTCATTAGCCGCATACCAATAACATCAGACTGGGGGGACTTGTTGATATATGGTCCATTAGCATGGCCTAGACAGCTCTGGCGCGCGAGCCTCGCCTGGCGCCCCCTTGCCATCCTCGCTGGGGACTCTCCTGTTGTTTATATGACTAAGTCCAGTCCGATGTCATTGGCCGCGTACCAATAACATCAGACTGGCGGGGCTTGATGATATATGGTCAATTAGCATGGCCTAAACTGCTCCAGCGCGCCAGCCCTGTCTGGCGTTCCCTTGCCAGCCTTGCTCGGGCCTCCCTTTCCAGCCTTGCTGGAGACTCTCCCGTCGGCCCGACCTGGCGCTCCCTTGCCAGTCCTGCTGGGGACTTTCCTGCCAGCCCGGCCTGACGCTCCCTTTCCTGGTGCGCGCCCGCCAGCCTTGCCTGGGGCGCGCTCGCCAGCCCCGCCCGGCGCCTCCGAGCGGCCTTGCCCAGCTCCTTGCTAGTTGGGCCTGAATTGGGCTGGCCCAAGGCCTGACCTAATTCCCCTTGACCTAATTATCTCCTATATAATGAATAGTATCACCTCCATGGAGGGGGATCTTCCCCTTGGCCCAGCCGCCACACTATACTCCGGCCGGGTGGCTCAGCTGCCACCCGCCGCCGTCAGCCACCACACACCACCACCAGCACCAAGATGGTTCTCTCCAGCTATGGAGGACCATCTCAGATCTACCAGATGATCTAACTTGACCGTCGGAGTCCGCTCCCGGGGCACAGTCCCTGGGGCGGCTCTAACGACCTTGTCTGTTGTGACCTCGCAGATCTGTCTCCAGCGTAGAAGCACATCCTTAGCTAAGGTGGTCGGAGCTGATGTCGCATCATTTGGCGTCATCCCGGACTTGAATGAGCATCCATCATCTCGTTCTTGTCTAGATCTGTTCAGATCTGTTGCACTTTTAGCTCAAGTTCGCTCATATCTGTTCATATTTAGCATCTTTTGTTCAGATTCGTTGGGTCTTACCAAGATCTGTCCAGATCTGATTATCCACCCCTCAGGTCTCTTGATCTGATGTGTTCTATCATTCAGATCTCTTGATCTGCTTAGTGTTTTTGTTCAGATCTATGGATTTGTTTCGTTTTAAGACAAGATCTTTGTATCTATCATAGTTTTTGTTGATTCAAACACTTTTCAAGTTTACAAAGATATTTCAGATCAGTTTCGTCTTTTCTTTTCAGTGACCCATTCAGCAAGTTGGGGAGAAAAGAAATTTTTACAAGTTTATCTTTTTACTAAAGTTTAAATTATCATAAAATCGAGTTCTTTCTCTTTGTTCATATTTTTGATGTTTATCTTCAGAAGTTTAGAAAAAGAAAACAAAAATTTCTTCAGATCTGTTTCTTTGTTCATGTTTTGATGACTTGTTGAGCAAGCTGAAAAGAAAATAAAGTTTTCCGTGGAGAAAACATCATCAGATCCCGTTTTTTTCATTTATATTTTTGGATATTTCAGCAACTTGATGGAGAAGAAAAGAAATTTTTACAAGTTTTATTCCTTTTATCAAGTTTACATTACCAGGAAATTGGTTTTTAGTTAAGATTTTTTGTGTATCACCTCACTCCCTGCAACATTTATTTGTAAACAAAGCTTTGATACTTGTACATTTCACACAACCTTCAAAACAATTACTCAGATCTCTAAATATGATTCATTTTAGCTCATCTGAGCATCTCTTAAGTTTAAACAGACTTTATCAGGTCTATTTTTCATTTATGCTTTGATGGGATCTTCAGTAAGTCTCGAAGACAGAGGCTCTTATGAGTTCTTAACCTATCTTTGTTTATAATCTGATGGCCTATTGAGCAAGCTGAAAAGAAAAGAAGTTTTATGAAAAAAAAACCCTATCAGATTCGTTTTTGTTTATATGTTGGGTTTTTTCAGAAAGTTTGAGAAGAAAAGAAATTTTTGTTTGGATCTTTCTTTAGAAGTTCGAAAAAAGACGAGAAATATTTTTTAAGTTTACCTTATTTCAGTTTATTTTGATGATTTGCTGAACAAGAAGAGGAGAAAATATCTCTATAAGCTTTTATTCTATTCTCAGTCCACGTTAACAAGAACATAATCTAGCTCACAATTTTCTATGAACAAGACCCTTTCAGATATGTTTTGTTTATATTTTGAGGTTTGTTTAACAAGTTTGAGAAAACATAAGTTTTTACACCATTTTCAGTTTATATATTACCTGAAAATCGTTTTTGTTTAGATTTTCCTTCAACCCCTGAAACACTTGGTTGTAACGAGGGTTGAGATGTTTGTACATTTACCAAAGTTGTTTATTTGGTGTCTTCTTAAAAAAAATTGAAAACAAAAAAAGAGATATTTTATGGGTTTTTACTCCATATATCATCAAAATTCATTTTAATAATGAGTTTCTATATACAAGTTTGTTTAAGTTTAGAATGCACTTGTGCTACTTGTACATTCTAAAACCCATCTGATAGCATTTTTACCCCAAAGACCCTACCCTTTCGTCAAAATATGTAGCTTAGTAAAAAAAGAGAGAAAAAAAAGGGGAGGGTAGAAAGGGAGTTCTACATGAAGCAATCTGTAAAAAGAAATGTACAGAAAGCAAGAATTCGTAGTCCATAGAGAGAAAAAAAGAGTTGTGTTTGCCTTTTACCAAAATGCATCCCATCATCTCTATCGTAAATGCAAGCTCACATTTACAGTAAATGGTACACAAAATATTATAAAAATAGGCCATCACTCCTAGGCCTACAATAAAAAAAGGGAGAATTTCGTATATACCCTTATTAAACGACTAAGTATCGTATTTGCCCGACCTAAACTTTAAATATCATATTTACCCTTGTTAATGTTTTAAAATATCAAATTTACCCAAATATATTTTTTTAATATTTTTTATTATTTAATAATCATTTTTTTATAATTTTAAGTCATTAAAACTAAAAAAATAACTAAATAGCCGATAATACCCTTCATTTATAAATAGAAAGAATAATTCACACGAGGTTTTACTGCTCTGGTCGTTGTTTCATATCTAACGTGTTTTTTATGCAAATTTATCAATCCTGTATTCGAAATCACTTGCCTTGACTGTGCATTTCAACTTTTCATTTTAGACACTCGAAGCTATGCTTTTTGAAAACCCTCATAAGTACAAATGGCCTCGTTGTCTTAGTGAGCTTGTCAAATATGGTGTACTTCTCTGTTCACATTCCATTCACGAAGCAAAGTAATCACAACTTTGAAGGTTTTTATTTTTATTTTTAATTGTATTCTTCTTTTTTATTGGATGATGAATCCGGATAATTATAATAGGAGATTACTAAGAGACTAATGTTTGTGACACCTGTTGAATTGTGGGGAAAGGTTCATCAGCTTCGAGATGAAGACAACAAAGTAGGTCAATGACTGATAATTAATTAACAAATAATCAATTAACAAATAAAAACAAAAAATTACCTCATAATTATTGGATTGCAACAAAAAATTGGCAGAAGGCCAAAAAAAAGACGCGGTAAGGGTTACATATGAACGATCATGCTAAGAAATCTTAAAAGCAAGGGTATTGTGGTCCATTTGGTTACTTTTTTATTTTTAATGATTTTAAAATATAAAAATGGATTCTTAAATAATAAAAACTATTTAAAAAATAGATTTGGGCAAATACGATATTTTAAAACATTAAGAAGGGCAAATATGATATTTAGAATTTAAATCGGGCAAATATGATATTTAGACGTTTAATAAGGGTATATTCGAAATTATCCCATAAAAAAAAAAGGGATACAGGTATATACAGTGTACATCATAAATCAAAGACAAAAGACAAGTGGGACCCACCTGGTCCAATTCTCAAGATACACAAAAACACAAAAGTCAAATGTAGCTGGCCCCACCTGGATCTCTTCCTCCAAACCCTACTCATCGACCGTTGGTAAACGAAACCGATGCGGCAGAGACCTCCGACTAGAACTTAACCATCACATGTCTTCTCTGGTTAAACGATGCAGCTACTCCACCATAATAGCCCTGGTCACCGACCTCCTCCAGCCTTTCCTTTCAACAACAGATCGCGAAGGTGGCACTGTCATCGTCACCACTGAATTACCTACAGTTACCAGTCTCCATATGTTACTCCTTTGCCACCGTCGACTGAACAGATCGACACTTCCAATGAACTCACCCAGCCGACCTCCTCTAGCCGACGATGACGCCCGAAGAGAAACCCTAGACCACTCGTCGATCTACAACTCGACCACCTTCAACACTGGTGACCCAGTAGGGCGTGTTCGGTGCCAGTTGTCTCGGTCAACCACATCGCCGGTTGACGGCCGCTTTTCCTTCACAACGACGACCCCGGGTGATCAGTCCAATCGGGTAACAGGTCCAACGTCGATCTTCTATAGTTGACGAACAGATGAATGTCACCAACAGGTTCACCGCCTGACAAGCCACCTCTTCTCGCCGAACAATCTCAACGGTGATCCATTCCGGCGCCGACAAAATCGCATCCCCGTTCAATCCCACAACCGGCGACGATGTAGCTACTCCGATCCTCTTCTGCATCCAACGCCTCTAATGGCCATTTCCACCGGACTGCCTCTTGCCACCTAGCACCTTCACCTATCGATTTAACAGGTTGACGCCACCAACACATTAGGGATCCGATCTCCCCTTACAAACAATACAAAAGAAACCACCACTGTGGCCTATAAGATATCCAATTGTAATCTTTTTTCATTTTGGGCCTCTCTAACGAGCTGCGATAGTGAAGAACATGGACTGTGGTCCTTCAAAGCTGATAAAGAAAAAGTGGCGGGCCCAACATGTGGTACTTCTGTACCAAATACAACTCGTATACATGAAAATGAAAGGAAGAACATGGGTTGTTCGAGTGGGCTACAACAATTCTGTGGTGGGCTCCTTCAAGATAGCATATGTCATGACTATATTTCACGTTATTGGACTGCAATAAATATATTTTGGGCCTCTGTATAATAACTTTGGGCTCCTCACATTAATAGTGGCCTGCAACCATGACTTTTTGGACTCTTTCTAAAACTTTCAGATTATTGGACTACATCAACAATAAAACAGGCTAATTTTATGAGACATATTTGACAGCCAGTCGCCCAACGCTCATAGGGTGCAATCTCATCCAACAAAATTCAAATTGAAAAGATGCGTCAATGGCCCAGACCACTCACCGTTTTCGAAAAAGAAGAAGAAGAAGAAGAGAATATGAATTTGGGCTTCACATAAATTGGTACTTAATGGGCTACCTCCACAATACAAAAATGATCCAGCTTTACAAGACAAGAAGTAGCAATTTAATACTCGCGCACCGCAAACTCCGCTCAACAAAATGCGTTGCAACTCGAACTCTAGCGACATCTTCAAAAAAATGGGGGGGGGGAGGGAGAAGAGTAGTATGCTACTACTACTCAATGAAGCATTTTAGAATGCGATCGCGATAGAAAAGCTCAAGGTCTACTTTCTCTCATCTCTCAAGTAAACTAATATCATTTATCTCTATTTAGTAAAAACTAAAAATATTTACTAAAGCTTTGTTATGACAATTGTGACATGCATTTACCTTCAGAGAGTTAAGGTATTTATATATATAAAAAAAATACTAATCTACTATGCATAGTAGAAAAACTTTTTGTTACAACATCTTATTTTCACATACAAAGATGCCATGTTTTGATAACTGAATTGGCAAACAGTTTTTGATTTAATCAAACCATTTTGTCGTTGTTGGTTCGTAACCACTAATTGCATGCTACACAAACATTTTACTTCATATATACAAGAAGTTTACCTTACAAGCTTACAAGGGCACATGATGTAAACAACCCCTAGAACTGCATGCTTTAATTGTCATTACTATGCATTATGGAATTACGTAACTTACTATTATTGTTTACAATGGCATGTACAAACAAATGAGGCTCGAACGTGCAAAAACAAGCCAGTGTCATATATCCGTTCATTGTCCCTCCTCGCCTTTTCCAAAAAGGGGGGGAGGAGTATAAGGGTTAGCACGACACTACATAAGTGTTATTCCAAGCAAAGAGATGAACTACATAACGAGTTGACGTTATATACGATTGTGCATCCATGAGAAGAGATTGGTGTCATTAATGAAGAAGAAGCTCTATGGCCAAACACCAAGCACCAACCATGTTGCCTGGCTATCAACAGCTATGGTGGTTGGCCCAGCTCTCAGTAGTCGCGTTGCTCGGATTCTAGTAGTTACGATGCCCAACTTTTCCTAGTAACCATGCGGCCCAGATCCCAGCAACTATGCTGCCTAACTCTCGTCAGCTATGATGCCCTACTTTTCCCAGCAGTCGTGTTGACTGGTCCTTGGCAGTCTCTTTGATAACTCTCAGCAACTGCGCTGCCTGACAATCAACAGTGGTGTTGACCATCTCCAGGATGTCTCGCTACCCAGCTCTCACCAGTCGTGTTGACCGACTCCCGCCAGTCTTACTGCTCAGCTCTCAGCAGCCATGCGACCCAGCTCAGCAGCCGCGAAGCCCAGTCATCACCAGTTACGTTGTCTGACTCCCAAAAATCGCGCCAGTCGCACTACCCGACTTTTGTCAAGCACTTGTGTCACCTAGCTTTTCCCAGTAGCTGTGTCGCCCAATTTCCAACAACTATGCATCCTCGTAGTTCAACCCTCGGGAGTCTTGCGCCCAGCTCTCAATAGTCATGTTGCTCATACATCACTAGCAGCTCGCTTCCCAGCCCTCAGCGGCCCTGCTGCTTAATTCTCGACAGCATCCCCACTACACACCTCTTGACAGCAGCTCCACTGTGTAGCTCTCAATAGCCTTACAACATAGCTCTCGAAAAGTAGTCTCACGACATGGCTTTTGACAAAATCATTAGAAGACGAGGCACTAATCGTCACCACAACTAATGGTGCTACAAAGCATCAAGTACCATCACACTTCAGCCCGGATTGATCACCTGGGCCAAACACACAGATTGCCAGCCGTTGCGCCCAATCATTTAGGGTTCAGAATCCTTGCCTTGAGTCGTCTGGTTTCTCGGACCTATGCAAAAGTGATTTTTATTCCGAAGGGGCAGAATTAAATTGCATGAAGAGTTTATGCTATGCATGATAGTGCACTCTAGAGGTGACGTTAATATTACGGATCGAAAGATCAGCCTCATGGTTTAACCCTCAGTAGTCTCGTTGCCTAGCTCTCAGTGGTCGTGATGTTCATCTATCGCTAACAGCTCGATGCTCAGTTCCCAGCAGCCTGTCGACCAGCTCTCGATGGCAGTCTTGCTACGCACCGCTTGACAACAGCTACATCATCCAACACTAAGTAGCATCGCTAAATAGCCCTCGACAGACAACCAAGACACCGAGGCATCAATTATCAGTACGACTAACGATGAAGCAAAGCATCAGGTACCATTCCGCTTTAACCCAGACTAATAACACGAGCTAGAAGCATAGATTGTTGGGTGCCACGCCCAATCAGGTGAGGTTCAGTACCCTCGCCTCGAGTAGCCTGGCTTCTCAGCCCGACTCCGTTACAGCGGAGAGCTTCGCATGCAAGGTTCAGTACCCTCGCATTGGGTCTCCTGGCTTCTCAGCCTGGCTCCATTACAGCGTCAAGCTCCGCATGCAAGGTTCAGTACCCTCGCCTCGAGTCGTCTGGCTTCTCAGCCCGACTCCATTATTGCGGCAAGCTCCGCATGCGAGGTTCAACACCCTCACCTTGAGTCGTCTGGCTTCTCAGCTCGACTCCATTATAGCGGCAAGCCCCGCATACGAGGTTCAGTACCCTCGCATCGAGTCGCCTGGCTTCTCAGCCCGAATCCATTATAGCGGAAAGCTCCGCATGCGAGGATCAACACCCTCGCCTTGAGTCACCTGGCTTCTCAGCCCGACTCTATTATAGTGGTGAGCCCCACATGTGAGGTTCAGCACCCTCGCCTTGAGTCGTCTGGCTTCTCAACCCGACTCCATTATAGCGGCATGCTCCGCATGCGAGGTTCAACATCCTCGCCTCGAGTAGCCTGGCGTCTCAGCCCGATTCCATCAGCGGCATGCTCCGCCAACAAGGCTCAAAGGCTTGAAACCTTTGCCTATATGATTCCACGCGATGCTCTCCCGCGTGATGTATCTACGATCGCTAGCAGCTAAGCCCGATCCATTCCATGCGATGCTCTCCCGCATGATGTATCTACAATCGATGGTAGCTAAGCTCAATCCATTCCACGCGATGCTCTCCCGCGTGATGTATCTACGATCGCTGGCAGCTAAGCTCGATCCATTCCACGCGATGCTCTCCTGTGTGATGTGTCTACGATCGCTGGCAGCTAAGCCCGATCCATTCCATGCGATGCTCTCCCGCATGATGTATCTACGATCGTTGGCAGCTAAGCTCAATCCATTCCACGTGATGCTCTCCTAGGTAATGTATCTACGAACGTTGGCAGCTAAACCCAATCTATTCCACGCGGTCCTCTCCCGCGTGACATCTCCATGGTCGCTAACTACTAAGCGCAAACTATTCTTCTAAGTCGCGCAGACATAAGTCGCGCATCGTCGCGCACCATAAGTCGCGTACCACTAGTTTATTATGCGCCTAACACCGCGCCCTCGGTGTTTCTTCTCTCACAGTCATTATGGTTCTCTTGTGCTCGGGCGATACATCCTGCTATAGTGGGGTTACTCTCCAACAAGAAGGTTATCCCGACAGTGGCCCTGCTACCCACTACCTTTCAGCATCTCTATTACCCGGCTCTCGGAAATGGTCTTGTTGTGCAACCCTACCTGTAGCCTCGTTGCGTATCCCACAGCACCTCTGTTTCCTGGCTCTCGGAAACGGTCTTGCTATGCAACCTCAACCTATAGCCTCACTGCCTATCCCTCAACAATTCTATTGTCTGACTATCGGCAATAGTCTCGCCGTGTGATCCCCGCTACCAACCTAATCGCCCAGCTCCCGGAACCTTTACCACCTATGACACGGTCAACAACCTTGCGGCTTATTGGTTTGACAATGTCCATCTCGTACAAAGAGTTTTGCCACTTCGTCGCAAATTGACATAGCAACTTCACCTTATTTGTCATAGTCTGATCCGGCTACCTACACTACCCACATCAGACTGGGGGGAATCCAGTTAGGTATAATGTACTTTGGAAACACCTTCAGGTCGGTTACTGGTTCTCATGCAAAGAAGACTATGTAGATGGTTATCAGTGACATTCTGTTTGTGCGTAACTACAACAACGGCTGCGTCGGATAATAATCTTAGGGACTGAAGGGCAAGCTTACGCTTCTCAGCTACCGTGGCCCGACGCCCTATTGACATTATTGTCACATAGCAGCCCCGCTCCACATAGCATTATCAGCAGCCTCGCTCTACATGAT